CAAAATATCATATAACTCATGGAAAAGAGTCGGAATCACACATTTGGAACATATATTTGATCATGGCTCGCTCATTCCCTATGATACACTCAAACAGAAACTGGCTTATCAAATAACAATCTGCAAACACCCCCATTGGTCAAATATGTTAAACTCAGCCACTCAGAACAACAGGAGCTCAGTGGCGCTCTAGTTGAGGTTGCCTTGCAGGAGGGAAAACTAAATCATCAGTGCCTGGAACAAGCTTGCTCTGCACTCCCCTGCTGACCTTGAAATTGTCCTGAATTTCTTAAATAAAACTTCCCAGTTCCCCTTCTTGTGGGTGCCTTCCAGCTGGACAGGATCCCAGGCCATTCCCACCTTAACACAGCCTGTTTTCAGTCAAATTGTGGAGAAACTCAGACACAGAATAGTTCACCAATGTGGGCAGATCCTAATATCTGTCCTCACCTGTGAACAGTCTCTGGAAAACCTGTGGCCAAGGGCTGAAGGCCTCATGGCGAGGAACAAGAGGACAGAGAGGCACCTCCTGAATTCATGTACGTGGACCGGGGCTGCTGTTGCGTACACGGTGTCTCCTCTTTGGAGCAGCTAGTCAGTGAGTGAGCCCAAAGTGGCGTGGTGGTGCAGCTCAACATTCACAGCAAGGTCAAATACATCTCAGTGGACATGAGGAGAGAGGAATAATGTGTTTCTGAGATCTTCTACTGGATGGCAATTACCCTGTGGTTGGGAAAAAAGATCCATGAAAACATATTGCTCACGAACATACTACTTTATTGTGCATTAATGTAATAACATAATTAATGAACTGCTCATTCGGAGTATGTAAATTACATAAGCTCTGTGAGCAAGCAGAAGAAAGATAAGGGAGGTTAGCGAGGAGGCGCTCATCACACAGTCCGAGCAGAGCGAACACAGCTGCAGCTCTTCATGTTTGACTGAGGTGGGTCAGTTAAGCCCGCCGTCAGCGCCTGTCCACTAAATCCACATTATCAATGTAATCAGCTGCTCAATCTGTCGTTAAACTCTTCTGAGGGGCAGGGAGCGCCAAACGCCAGAGACAGAAGAACAGTGTAACGTAAGGCAGTGGTTCCCAACCTTTATCCTTAAGGGACCTTTTTTATAATTTATTAAACTGACTCAGTGACATATTTTATAGATATTTCATGTAATATTCAAAACTGTACAACGAACCCAAACAGTGAACTCAGTAACTGCAGGAAGTTTGTTTAAAACAAGTGATTTGGATGAATTTTGAGAAATTTCTCTTACAAATTCAGTATTTTCTTGTCCTTCACGCTTGGATTTAGTTCTATTAGACAATTTAATTTACTTTACATTTACTTTTCTTCACAGAAGCAAACCAAATGTTGAGATTTAGGCTTACGGTGTATATTTCTTTTAAATGCTCTCACATGCTTGTCTGACATCTCAGCTGCTCATTTGCGTTATTAATACCATGTCTACATGACAGTTTCCCATCTGCTGAACAAGCTATAATTGGTAGCCAGAATGAAGCTTCCAAAAATACCATTAAAAAAAAGCCTGACAGTTAATTTAGAAACAACATTTATTAGCAGCTGCAGAAAGAAGAAAGAAAGAATAGAGAAAGTAAGAGTATGAAATAAAAAAGGAAATATACACAAAGTAGTATGAAAGGGGGGGCTGTATTCTTGACACCTGCATGTCTTCCTGCTTTTGGCTGTATCCCCTATTTTGGGCCTCTCTCAGTTTTCATCAAGGAAACCCTTAAAGCTACAGGGCGCAGTAATATCTTACACAATTGTCTATTTACAAAAGCCGTTTCCTGTTTCAACAATGCCCCCCCCCAGTTTAAATTAAAGCTGCAGCTGCTCCTCTCAGTTCAGTTGGAATATTCCTTTACTAGAGTTACTAATTCACTAAAAGTCTAAAAATAAAGGTTCCTAACTATGGTGGACTCTGTAGAAGGCATCTGTAGATAAAAAAAGGCACTAGAAAGGGAGTTCTTGTCCCAATTAATGACTAAAGACACTTTGTTTTCATATTGTACAAACGTTACACAAAACTGTGAGAAAGCATTACTGTAACGTTGTAAGTTTGGGCACTCGTACGATATTAACTAATATCATGACTCATTTCCAGCCATTGACTGGATTATACAAATTCGAGGTGAAGCACGGATGGCCAAACTTCCAATCAGCTCACTTTATGATACAAAGCCCTGCATGGAGAATCTTGGCAGGGTTTTTGGAATCTTTGTGTTGCAAGATCCAGAGCAGGAAACTCCCCCTTTAACCAAGAAATCTACACTGTGTACCAGTTTATTATCAATGAGAGCATACTGTATATATGTGAGTGTGTGTGTGTGTGTGTGTGTGTGTGTGTGTGTGTGTGTGTGTGTGTGTGTGTGTGTGTGTGTGTGTGTGTGTGGACACATATTTTCAGACACTCTCTCGTGAGTTTTGCATGCCCTGTTTTCTGTGCAGGTCAGTGGAAAGGTCAGCTATCAGCTCCGCCTGCAGAGGAAATCCTGAGAGCTGAACGGGTCCCAACGAGTCAGAAACACATCGATCTGTGCTCCTGTTCTCCCGCACCATCACAACACCGCTGTGGCACCTCGGACAACATCTGGATCTGAGCTCCTGCTATGTCTGGAATAATTATTGTATTGTGTATTGTGCCTGTTAAGTAAACAGAGGAAATAACCTGCTGTCCTGCTGGGACTTCCTGAACAGTGCGATGATTGTTTGACACACTGGAGAACAAGTCCCTTTTAAAAGACAATAAACAGTGAATAATAACAATAACAATTTTTATTTAAAGGGAATGAAGGAGCAGATTAAATTAGCTAAAAACACAACAAATGAGCAAAAATATTGGAGATAATGTTGTTGGTAAAGGGAATTATTAAAAAGGGAATAATGAGATGAGATTCACAATAAAATTCCACTTCCTGCTAATTTGTCACACGTCTACAGGAGCCGCACAGGATGACAGCAAAAACAAAACTTTTAAAGGTAAAATATGAATGAATTAAGTCACATCACATGTTCAACAATATTTCCCAACATTATACTAAAATGTACAACACACAGGGTGCGTACAGCAGTAATTGTAACTAGATTACGATCACATGTCTACAGACTCCAGTACAGTAGGTGCCGGTTTGCACCTTCAAGGTAAAGGATTGCAATAAAAATTAAAAGAAGAAGACTTCCTCCTCTGTCTTGATTAGATTCACCTGTTCCTTATTGCCCTTCCTGCCCCTATGTGTTCAGTCTCTGTTGTCTGTTGTCTTCATTATCTTATCATAGTCCAGGTGTTATTTCGCCTTCTCGGACTTGTTATGTGTCATTGTACTTTTGCTATCCCTTTGCCTGCGTGTCTGTTACGTCTCTGTGTTCAAGGTGCAGTTTCCTCACTCTCTCAACTCCCTGGCACAAGATCCCAGCCATTGTTTGTGTTGCTCTTCTTTTGTTTTGTTATAAATAAATGTTATTCCTTTGCATCGTACCTAGTATGGTGGCTCTTAATGTGTTGGACTTTGAGCCGGTCGTAACAGACTGAATACCTGTGAACCAAATGCTGTTTTGGAAGGTAAAGACTTTTTCTGTCGCGTGTTTTAAGTCTTGCTCGAGTCAACATGCTGTATAAAAGTAAAATTAAAGAATTAAACTGCATATAAAGCAGCTCCACCTCAAGCAAACCAGGGTTCCCACACACCCTGGAGCATAAGAGACTATTGCTAGGCATGGAAATTGGTTAAAATGACCACATATCCTGGAAATAATCTGCGTTGTCCTGGGAGTTGTACTTTCTTTATTTTCTGTCTAAACAATAAAGTCTATTTATAGACCTGAACATGGTCTAAAACCTATTATTATCTAACGGGATATCAATAGTTCTCTGACTTCTTGTCATTGAAGGACGCTGGAAACTGTCCAACTCCTGCTGCTGATGCCTGATCTCGTCCACTGTTGGGACACAGTTCATCTGGAACGAGCCCACAGGGACACTTTTCATTCCTGTTACTGGAACCAATAAAATAGACTATTAAAACCTGTAGAATATGCTGTATGCAGGGGCGGACGTAGAGCAATGTTCATAGGGTGGCCAGAGGGTGTCATGGAGACTTTAAAGGCAGCGGTTCCCAACCTGGGGGTCTGAAGCCTCACTGGGGACTCAGAGGCCTTCTCAGCGTGAGAAAAAGTAATGGCCAAGCATCAGGGACAAGAAAACACTGAATTTGTCAAATAAGAAGCTTATTAAGTCTGTATGATTGTTAGAAAGGATAAAAATACATAATACAGAGAATTGTATACAAAAACAGGAAATAATCTGCTCAAAATGCATACTAATCTCTGCTTTTACACAAACTTCCTGCAGTTACTGAGTTCACTGTTTGGGTTCATTGTTTAAATATAATATGAAATATCCATAAAATATGTCACTGAGTCAGTTTAATAATGATAGAAAATGTCCCTTAAAGAAAAGGGTTGGAAACCGCTGCTTTAAGTGGTGGTTGCTGTTTTAATTGCAATCACATATCAACATTTGCTTGGAAAAGCCCCAAAATGAAGAAATGAAACTTCCCTCAAAAAGATACTTTCGAAGCCCTTTTTTTTTCAATGTGACAGGAAAAAGAAATTAATGATTTGGTTTACTAAAGTTTACTGAACTTTCTAAACATTTTGACCACAAAATAAGGAGAAACATTATCACAAAGTCAATATTTTGAAAATTTTTCTCATTATAATGACAAATTAATAATAATGACATTTACAAATCCTTCTTTTTTTAAAATAATTAATTAATTAGTGTATGAGGGAGTTTGTATTTGTGGGTTTACTTTACTTTCAGTGTACTTATCTTGATATCAATCCTCTGCAGTAGATTCCCTCTCACTGCGGTTGAGGCTGTGAGAAAACCCACAGACACGCAGTCCGGTTGCATTAATCCCATTACTGTCATCATGTGGCTGCAGGGGGGAACTACAACTACAAACCACACAAACATCACTGATAAAATAAACTTTATTTATAACGTTCTTTTCAAAGAAGAGAGCCAAATATTTCATCCCAACCGGCAGCTTTTCCTCCTGATTTAAAGTTCCCCTCCCAGCTGTCTTTTACTGTCTGATCTTCCAACAAATTTCACATAAACGTCACAACATTTTCAAATATTGGTTCCAAAGCAGAGAAGGGGACTGCCTAAGCTCTTCTTATGGATGTTTTTGCCAAGACTCAACATCTCAAATTGCGAATCCTTTTGAAATGACATCAGCCTGAAATCCCTAAAGGGCCCCGTTTGGTTCTTGTCTGTGAATGTGATACTGTTGTTATGATAGACGGCCCCAAAGTCTGGTGGTGCTCTTTTTAAGTTGCCACCATCTTTAGAGCTGTCCTACGATTACACAAAATAACAAAAGTCCAGCCTCAGATGTTTCTGTCGGCTATAAATATGCAGTTTCAAAATAATTTTCAGATTTCCCAAAAGAGTGGATGATGTGGTTTTATTGAGCTCTTCGCTGGCAGTTTGGATTGATGCCTCGGTTCTGTGTCAGAGGTTAGAGGTCAGGTGAGGGAAGGTTTGGGTTGGTATTTCACTCTGTTGAAGTCGTCCACTGTAGTTTCTACTGGAGGCGTCTTCCAGTATTCCTCCAGACCCAATGCCAGACACAGAGCAATGGCCGCCATCTGCAACACACGCACACTGCATTACACTGCACATTATGTTCAGGTGTCACATGGTAGTTAGCGCTGTCTAGACGTTATGGAGACACAGGTCTAGAAAATTATAACATCATCCAGATTTATAAATTCTTCTAGAAACTCAAAAAACTCATCTAAGGATAAACTATCTTATGGGGGGGAAAAACAACAAACTTGCTGTTTGAGTAACTTTAAACTCACAGAAATTCATCTAAAAGCTCCTCAAGTCTCCAGGAAATCCAGAGAGTTTTTCTAAACTACAGTTAGCTTGTAAAGATTTATAAATTCTTCTGGAAACTTCAAAAAACTCATCTATAAATAAACTTTTTAAGAAAGCAAACTCAATAAACTTGCAAACTAAAAGCTCTTTTGATTCTACAATTACTTTTATAAATGTGTCTTAAAAAGTCTTCCAGATGTACAAATTCTTCTCGAAATGTAAAAACTCATCTATAAATGAAATATTTCAGAAAAAAGAAGAACTCTGGAACAAACTTGCAAACTTCTCGAGAAGCTCTTTGAGTAACTTTAAACTCAGAAATTCATCCAGAAGCTCTTCAAGTAACTCTAAATCCAAAGGTATTTTACTTTACTTACTAACTTTAAAACCTTTCTAATGCTACAGTTACCTTTTCAAGAGACTTGTAAAGCTTCCAGACATTTAAAACCTGTTCTAACGTATCTAATATCGAATTAACATTCACTCATAAACACTTCCCGTTCATGCATCACTTTATACATTTAGTCGATTCAGGACTGCAGCTCTGCTATAGTAAGATCATGAGACCAACTTCTTCCACCATTAATTTGATATATTTCAATCAACACAACATCTGCATAAAGATGTTAATTATATTGTTTTAAAGTAACAAAGACATAGCTCAGTTAAGCTCGGTGTGTAACAGTGTACCGTGATGGTGGCGACGGCTGAAATGATCCCTATCCTGAGTTTGATGGGAAAGCTCAGGTAGCTCTTCAGGATGGAACCACAGGGCTGCCACAAACAGAGATCAAAGGTCAGCATTCAACGTAGATTAAAAAACAGATCAGAAGCTCTGATCGACATCAGTTTGTCCAGACAGACACAAACAACAACAAACGTACGAGAGCAAAATGTGTGAATTAGAGAATGAACAGTAGGAAGGGAAGTGCAGTGGAGAGAGAAACACTGTTGAAAGAAAGGAAATAAAATTAAACACAGGAAGAGGAAAAGGGCAAAAGAAAGAGGAAGCTTGGGAGAAAGAAGAGAGGAAATTAATAGAAACTGCAATTCAGGAAGAAGTGGCTGGAAGGGAGAAGAGATAGAGGAGAAAAATAACACAAAGAAGAAGCGGGAAAAGGAAGGAAGAGAAGAATACCTTGGAGTGAACCCACTGAGCTGTGATCTGAGGGGTCGGAGGGTCGCCGCCCACCATCACACAGTCAGCGTTAGAGCTGTGAAACAAAGAGGAGGAAAACAAAACCTAATCAGAATGTCTGGAACTGGAGCACACATTTTTAACCCATAAAATGCTGATTTGTTTTTATAAATGTGGTAATAATGTCAGTTTTAACAGCAGCATTGCTGTGTTTCATCACAGTACAGTCATATGTAATTCAGTTTACAGCTCAAAACACATTTTAGAGTTCCTCTTTTGACGAAAAAATAAGTCCCAGAAATCCTGAAATTCATCCAAAAGCTAAAAACTTATTTTAAAAAAACTTGAAATCTGAGAATTCTTTAATTCTTCAAATCCAGAAATCCACTAAACCTAAACTCAAAAACCTTTCTAACATACAGGTAGCTTCTAAATCAATCATACAATAATTGAGTCATTTATAGATTTAGAAAAAGATATCTAAACATTATAAACTATTTACTATTTTTAAAAGATAGAAATTCTTCTAGAAAAACTCTTTAAGTTTTGATTGTTTTGTTACCTCGGCTGCGGGTCGGAGGCGGGGCGAGGAGTGGGCGGCGTGCAGAAACAGGAAACAGGAAGTTGATTCTCCCAGTCCTCAAATTTCCTCAAACCACAACAAGAGTCCTGAGACACAGACAGAGATAACGGATTCAAACTCAAAGTCGAGTTATGTTCAGTGTTCAAATTTAAAGATATATTTATTTCAAAAGATTTAGAAAGATCAATTTTACATTCATTTTTGACATATACAAAAAAAGTTATGTCAGTTTAAGTCAATTATACATAACTGATTATTATAGAAATTATGTCCCAAAAGAAACATTGATACATTATAATGAGATTCTTTATTATCTATGGAATAAAATTACAATAAAATACAATCAAATATTATAAAATACAATAAAATATACATTATATACAATAAACTAGAATATGGTAAGCCTTTGTGTACATGTGCAATGCTTCTGAAGTATTATGCACTTTCCTCATATGTTATGTGACAGGAGTTTCTCTGCGTAAAATATTTCCCAATATAGTGAAAATGTAGAAAAACGTTCAATACATATTAATATTAGAGCTAACTGGCACAAGCAACAACTTCCAACCATCTTTCACTACTTGTGACAAACACACTTGCTGAGATATTCAATGTGATTCCTTCGCTTTGTGTCTTACCGACGCCTGCAGTTTGTTTAGTTCACTCTGGATGACGCTGTCGGCTCTGTGGAGAGGAGTTACATTCAGGAACACCTCGTCCACCGCGCTGTCCATCTGTTGGACACAAAACAATACAGTGGAGCAGAGATGGAGATGTAATTTTTTATTTTTTATAAAAAGCGTTTATTGTCTGTAAAGAATCATTAAAATCAACTTCTAATCTGCTTTCAACATCCAAAATAAATGAATAACATTTCTGCAATTAAATTAGTTTGATTATGGCTTCTTACTCATCACAAAACACTAAAAGATAAATGTTTTTTTTTTTTTAAGGAAGCCATATAAAGCAAAAAAAGAGATTAATTTTTAAAATTGTTTTCTCTCCTGTTTTTATGACCACAAGAACATACATTTTCTTTCATTTCTTTAAACAGGTGAAAAATTTGATTTGCAGTGATTGTTGTTGTAATACTAATTTCAGCCACAAGAGGCCGACGTTTACTACCCCTGTTCTAAAAAGACTAAACGCATTCATGTTGTCTTCCAGGTGAGTTTTAATTTCTCCATGTGCCATAAACAAGGTGTGTGTGTATATAGCAAGTTACTTTCAATGTTTTTGGGGGATTGAAATTTACTTTAATTGGAACTAAGATAAATTAAAACTCACCTGGAGAAATACAAATGCTGATAGTCCTTTAGAACATGAAATAGTGGTCCACTTCAGCCTTTTGTGGACAAGATGAGAATTACCACAACACACACTAAGAAAAATTCTCCTGACAAAGTAATAATATATAAATAATAATTATATGTTTTTTATATATATATCTCTGCTGATTTTCACTTTTTATTTGTTGGTCTGAAAACATGAATTAAAACCAGCTAACTAATATAATTTTATTGTTATTAACACTTTACTGCTCTAATACAGAGTTTCAGTTTCAAAAGATTTCAGTTATTTAAACATAACTCTTTGATGCACAAAATAGGCTAAATTAAATTAAATTAAATCAAGCATCTCATAATTTCCACATAATTAATAAGGATCTCCTTTTTTATGCACTTGAAATGAAATATAAATGTAAATCATAGTTATAAGTCAACTCTCTCAGTGGTCATGAGGATTTTAGATAAAGGAGATAAGATGTGCCATTGACTGTCTAAATCTTTCATACTGTGGAGCTGGGATGAACAGTGCAGCCTATAGGGGGCAGCAGAGGCTGCTGGGAATGCATTATACAGTACTGAGGGTGAGAGAGAGACAGGCAGGAAGAGATACCTGAGCTTGAACCTGAACCAGCGGTGAGGCAACAACCATCAGAGCCACAAACTCCACGAATATCAGGGCAGAAAACTGGAGGAGATAATGACAGGTTAGCCCCGCCCCCTCAGACTGTGTGTGTGTGTGTGTGTGTGTGTGTGTGTGTGTGTGTGTGTGTGTGTGTGTGTGTGTGTGTCTCACCAGCAGCAGCACAGGTTTGAGGTCCAGTGTGGCAGCACAGATACCCAGAACAGACAAAACCAGCGTGATCGGGCCGAACACCTGCAGGGCCAGTAAACCGTCACTGCTGGACAACTGGTCGAACAACTGAGAGAGAGAGACAGAGACACAGAGAGACAGACAGAGAGAGAGAGATTACAATCACCTGGATTTGATTTAAAGGGATGAGGATTTTATTTTATTTTTTCCTTAAAAGTGTCATAGCTCTGTGATTGGATGTTGGCGGTTTTTGCCGCCAACAGATTTTTGTTTTCCTGACATTTCTAAACAGAAGAACCAAAAAATGAAAATGACCCTTTTTTCTGTTTTGAAAATAGAAAAACTAAAAATCCGAATCAGGTTTATTGCCAAGTAGGTTTTGGCCTTGGTAAACTGGTGCATTACAGTAAACACAAAGAATATAAATAAAGATAAAAAGAGACAATATATATAATTATATAACCGTTATTTAAATAACTGTGCAACATATTGTGCAGGGAATGTGTGAAGTTAACAGTGTGACATATTGTATGATATGAGGGAAGTGCTTTATGTAACACACATATTCAGGTTGGGCGGTGGGTTAAACAGTCCTGGAGGGACGGCGGATTGCTGCCAGTCACCTTCTCAGCCAAACAGATGAGTCGACAACCTTTCCTGGTTTTGTCTGTTTTTAAGGTCAGTGGTTCCCAACATTGTTCCTTAAAGGAGCCCTTTTCTATCCTTAATAAACTGACTCAGTAATATATTTTATGGATATTTCATATTATATTAAAAATTGTACAATGAACCCAAACAGTGAACTCAGTAATTTTGAGCAGATTATTTCCTATATTATGTATTATTTTATCATACATACATGTAATTCTTTTCACAAAACTGAACAAAATGCTGATATACAGGCTTACTGTGTATATATTTTAAGTTTTCTTACAACCCTTAAAGTCAACGAACGAACATCCCCGTGAAGCTTCGGTGACCCCTAGTGAAGGTCCCCACCCACAAGTTGGGAACACCTGTTTTCTTATCACACTGATGCATGTTCAAGTGTTAATTTAGTTAAGTTAACGTTTGGTTTTTATTATTTATTTGAAGCTATAAATGGGGATTTCCCGTCATGATTGACAGCTTGGGCCTGCTGGGTGGGACTTGAATACCCTGGCTACTCTGGCCCCGAGTGGCGAAAGATGGCAGCGGCCATATCCAGCATATTTTGGCTTAATTTTTTTACAGTGTGAGGAAGCATTTTTTATATCAATGGGTTAAACACAGAGAGACACAGTTACCTCAGCAATTGGTATGTTGCCATCAATGGAAGAAAATCCGACGCCGATCATCACCACACCAGACACCTGCAGGGACATAATTATGGGAAAGAAAAGATGGATTGAACTGCTGTGACTGAGAGTTTGTTGGGTTTCACAGTAAAGAGGAAGTCTTTAACAGCAGCAGCATTCCTCTGAAACCGTTTCAGCTTCCCAAGAGAGACGCTCATCAGACTCCCATCAGCTGGGAACTCTGACGGCTCTGAATCACAGACGTCATCTGCCCCACAGTCTTTGAGCTTTAAAGTTTCCAGGCTCTGTTGGCAGTCTTAGTAAATATTCTTACACTGAAACATTTTCTTGCATGCAGAGCTTTATCTGGAGGTTGTCCGTTTTTGCAGATACCGCTGTACTTCAATGCAACAACAAATAAAGATACTGATATAATTAGAATTTATTTTATGCTTTCATCCACAAAACACAAATATCTACAAATATATATATATATATATACACGATTAATAAAACAAACTAAAGCACAAACAATATGTTACGTAAATCTAGTTCCAAAAATAGATAACACATGCATACTAATTACTGTAATCAACTAATAGAGTAAACAACAACAACACAGGATCCAAAACTGGAAACAGGAAAACAGAAGCCAGTAAACAGAACAACACAATGGAATATTTTCAGAGTTTGTGCATTAATAAGACTAAAAATAGTACAAATAAAACTAATTTTACAGATAATTATTATCATATTAATGACAGATCATGATATTGTATTAGGTAAAGTGAACTTTGGCGTTTTGAATTTGATACTTGATTTTATTAACAATGTGAAATAGATTAAACAAATTAAAGAAAGAGGAAACAGTGGGAGGGAAGAAGAAAAGAAAACAGGAAATGAACAAGAACAAGAAACCTAAACAAAGATTAAACACTAATTACACAACTAAAACCAAATTATGTAATATTATATCTTTTTTTTTTACATAAACATTTTGTTTAAATATCTGATCATTTTTGTTCTTCTTTGGCTGACTTGTGTCGTTAATGTAATCAATTAATTAAACTTTTTTTGTATTGCACTTTTCATACATGTGCAATTCAAAGTACTGTACAAGTGACTGATTAGACAGCACAAACACAGACAAAACAATTGGACACTATTGCACACGGAAAATAGAAATAATACAAGTGAAACGATAAAATAATAAAATAGATCAAATATAAGACATTCAAAGAAGTTTAAGTTTAAAGATTTAATCAGTTTCTGCACTAAAATCTAAAACTAGAGCCCAACCGATATTATTGGCCTATCGCAGACAAATCGGTATCCTTGTAAATGTCATGTATATGTTAAAGAATTTTTACCTAAAGAATTCTTTCATGAAGTTATTTGTTTAAGAAAGCAGTATCCTGAGTACATTTTCATGGTCATAGTGATTGAAGCTGGAAATATTACTTTGATTTAAACAAAGAAAGATTTTGCAGAAAAAGTAATATAACTAGTATGTGAGTATTTACTATTGGCTGTGAGTAATAAGTAAAATAATATTACTTTTGAGTAATGAGTAATAAATAAAAAAAATTTGAGTACCCCAACACTGGTCCTGTGTCATCAAGAGTCACATAAAGCAGGGTGTCCTCAGCATATAGATTAGAAAGTAGAGGCCTTTAAAATTGATCCTTGAGGAACGCCACAAGTGGGGTGTTTTGAGAAATGTTCAAATATTGACTCAAACAGTCCAACATGTTCCCTAAGTCTGTTTAAAACGATTTCGTGATTAACTGTTTCAAAAGCAGTGCCTAATATCATTAACTACTTTTATTTTTAGTACAATATTCCTGAAAGCCTGATAGTGTTAGTGTTAAAAAATAAAATATCTAGTTGCATTACGACATTTTACTGTAATATTTGACTGAAAAATACAACATTTAATCATGTTTTATAATCTGATCATGATCATCAGTATGTTTTCTGTATAAAATATTATTTTGCAAAATACTATTAAAGTAATAAATATAAATAATAAAAATATACATACAATGTCTATATCCAATTTAGTGGAGTAATAAGGAAGTACTTTAAAAACAGTACCAGAGTGTGCTGCCAGACAAAATACACCTTTTTAAATAGTTAATTATAATAATTATTGTTGATTCGTTATTAGAAGCATTACAAATGAATTACAATTAAAGTATACATTATTTCTATAGCCAACAGGCACAAGCTTTAAAGGTCTTTAAAGTTCATAACAACTGAGAAACTTGCATCTACTCACAAAGATTATGTGATATGAACAAACATTTCATAAAAGCTAGTAAATGTTTGAACCTTAATGGTAAAAGTGATTATACATTGACATTTAATGGATCTATAAAAGCTATTAATTAAAAGGTTTTAAAATGCTACTGAAAAGGTTTCAGTACTGTAATCACATTATTATAATATATTTAAAGAATCCCATTAATTTCATATTTACAAATTAATCTTTACCTCCAGCATATAAATTCTCACAAGTTTTACCATTTCATTTTATTCCAACCTATTGCAATTGAAAGTAAAAGTCAGCGTCAAATAAAGCTAAATAAAGGTTAAAATCAAAATAAAATACAGAATATTTTTATAAATCATTGCATTTATTTTCCTTAATCGATAAACCTCCACCCTGATAAAAGATTCCACCTGCTCATTTTCACATCTGTCATAACCAAACCCAAACATGCTGTCAGCAGTTAGCAGTTAGCAATTAGCGGTTTAGCTTACCAGTAGCAGCACAGTGATACAGATAGCGAGCCCTCGCAAGTAACTCCTGCAGCGAGCCATGACCGCTGTCTGAGAGAGTCGAGCTAAAATAGAAACAGAGTAAAGACCAGACCCGACCCCGTGTGTGTGTGTGTGTGTGTGTGTGTGATGGATGTTGTTTAAAGCTCAAGAGTGTTTGGCTGCAGAACGAAGAACATGACCAAGTTTGGAAGATCAGCTGGAGAGTAGAAGAGAGGAGAGGAGAGGAGAGAGAAAACCAGTGAGGAGAGTAGAGGAAACAAGGAAAGGAAACAAGGAGAAGAAACAAGGAGAAGAGAGGAGAGGTTACTCCAGGTAACAATTATATCTAATTAAGCGGAAATGAAGGAGGAGAGAGTGATTGAGGAGTACAGGACAGGGGGAAGAGAGAGAAAGAGGGATGGAAGAAAGTGAAAGTATGGATTGAAAACACAAGGAACAAGTGCAAGGGAGGGGTGAGGAGGACAAACATCTTTAATCTAATACCGTGTTTATTTGTACAACACAAGTGCTTCGCAGAACAAAAACAAGTCCGATGTCCAATTTGCACGACAGCAGCAGACTCAACAAAATAACACCGACGCCTTTCTCCTTAAATACTTCCTCCAGCTTTTCCTGTTGTGCTCAGAGAAAGCTGTGATCAGACGCCCAAAACAACTCCGCCGAGTCCCCGTAGTGAGAGGGAGCACTGGTTATACTGGTGTTTGAGAGCCCTTCATGATGCAAAGTCACTCCTCAAAGCTTATGACCGTAGATGAGGGTCTTTCCATGGCTCGCATCGACAAGTAGAAGTAATTACGATTCTCCATCGGTAACAAACAAGATTATTATAGACCCCCCCCCCACTAGACATGCTACCCGAGGTCATACCGCGTCCTAAAGTGCGATAAAAGTGAGCTTTAAAAAGAAGTTCTATGCCTGTAACCCTAGTTTGCACCTTTCTGTCCTTTTGTAGAGCGAGAACAATATGTCTATAAATATGTTGTCAGATTTCACTTTGTTTGTACGTTCAGGGTTTATGGATTCAGTGTAAAATAATATTTAGAAGTATATATGAGAAAAAATGCGTATAGTAATATGTTTTCTGGGAAAAATACTGTTCATTATATAGTTAATAGTTTAGTTTTGTATAGTATAGTTTTGTTATTTTCAATGTTTTGTGCATTAGCTGATAGGAATCTTAACAAAATCATCTTACAGCCACTTACAGAGTCCACTGTAAGAGGAGGTTTAGGATGGTTGAGTCAACAAGACATCGGACGGGAGACAACCGATATTTTAGGCTCATTTCCAGTTCCAGCTTTGCATGATTCACACTTAAAACAAAATCTGTTTTTGACCAATGCAATTTTCTTCTCTCTTCCTGCAAAGTTAATTGAACTCCAAAAATAGTTGAAACTGATGACATCAAAAGATTTTAAGTAAAACAAACTCAATTTTGAAATTTAATAAATTAATTAAAAATAACATTCTTAACCCTTTATCGGGCGAGGAATTATATGGTCACTTCATTATGACGGTTTTAATTACAATTCTATGGCATATTTTGGTGGGGGTTTTTTTATGGGTGATATACTTATATATACTTCAATGTTACGGCTTTCTTTCACAAATAATTCAAAGTGGGCTTGATCTTGATTTGCTTATGGCTTATTTATTACATATTTTCATAGTATATTGATGTGGCATATTTCTTTTGCAGCCGCTGTCTGCTCAGTCCTTCTATGGGAAGAGGAGGCCTGCTGTGCCACAGATTGTTGTTGTGCCAGCCAACGTAGACATCACTGACTTTGATTTTCAGACTAAAACTGACTTTTTCAAAAAAATCAAAACAGAAAAAATGTCTTCTTATATCCACCAATAACACTCCAGGGTTGAAATTTTACATTTCCAAGTATTTCAATGAGTGCCCTATAAAGGGTTAATGAAGTCGTTTTAGTAATTTTAAGTAACATTGATTTAATTTTAAAAAGCACTTAAGATATACTTATACATATATATATATATATACTATACTCTCTATGTTCTGAAATACAATCATGCACACGCACACACACACACACACATACAGGGCTTATAGATACGCAAATGTGTAGAGATGGTGGAGTATTGAGCGCCTCAGCAGTGCACAGGAGATTGAACTTGTCTCTGCTGGACTTGAACCGGCGACCCTCCAGTGCTGAGATAAGTTTTCATGTAAACTGTTTGAGAAATGTTTCTGAGTTAAAATAACATCACATTACAGTGCTCATCCCCAGTGGTAGCTCAGTGTATGTTTTTTGTCTTTATTTTGTTGTTTATTTTAGTTTTTAGCCTTCAGTTATGTAAAATATGAACTAAACTATTTGTTATATTGTCTTTCCATATCCTTTTTATCTTGTGGCAGCAGGTAAAATGCTATGCTAGTAGAGCCTGTTGAATGGATATGATACAGAAAGGAATTCAGTGGAGTCATTAACCAAACGCTCTGTTGACTTTAGACTAAAAATAACTGAAGGGGACGGACTGACTGTCTGGGTGTGTGTGTGTGTGTGTGTGTGTGTGAGCGACAGTAATAAACATGCTCTCTGATGAGAAACTCTGTGTGTTTCCAAATCGTATAAATATCGGATATTACGGTCGGCTGTTATTAGCCAGCACAGTGATAATGATGATAAACAATGACACTTCAGCTGCTCGCCACTGTTATCGTCGCGGTAACATGTGATGAAGCCAGCTGGAACACTTTCATCCATCACCGTCCATCGTATGGAGTGGAAACATCCACTAGATCTACCAGATAGCAGGCGTAACTCGTTCTACGAGGCATTTTTCACTTTGTTGCTGCCAACCTTTTTTTTTTTTTATTATTGTGTAGTGTAATTAACATTGCAGCCTCCAGAGGGCGCCGTTAGGATTTCATACTGATGGCAGGCATTCAGGCCTGCAGTAGCAGCCTGTTGAAACAGTGCATCATGGAACTGACCATTTATAGTAAGCTGTTGGAGGACTGTTCTCTATAGTGCCTCCAAACAAAACACATATAGGAAAGATCTTAATAAAGCAGACAATACCAAAAGCTTTATTATACAGGGCGGCGGCTATAGATATAGAGACATAGATCCCTCATTGGACACCGCTATACGTAGCGGAGGTCAAAATCTGCTAGTTAACAATACTGAGAGATGTACCTTGCTTAATTCTGAACCGACTTTTTATATATTATTCATAATCAAACCAACCCAAAAATTAAACCCATACAACCAGAACAAGAAGAAGTAAGGATACTCATGTCGACAAAAATGTCGTTGTTGGTGCCTGACTTGAATATTTCGTCTGTTTGTACATCCCCACACCGCACGTCTCTATATATAGTGACAGAATTATTTCCTAGTATCTGGGAAATTTCTCACTTTTATAACAAACCAAATTTAATGAAAATCAGTTCAGAATTAAAGGAGTTACAGTCAGTTTTACAGACTATTTCAGACTGATACAGACAGTGAACTGGATGCAGAGATATAGGCTTACTGATCAAGAAGGCCCCAATGTAGCTTCGGCGATGACTTTAACTCACAGTATTTTTCTGTCTTTATCTGACAGGAGCAGGAATCAAACGGGGCCCGGTGCTGTAAGGACTCAGCCTTCACACATGAATCTGAACTTTAAAATGTAATTTACTTCAGGGTTCTTCACAGAAATGCTGAGATGAAGGCCAACTGTGTGTATATTTTTTTGTTACGCCCCTTAAAATAAAGAAGGTCCACTGTGAAGCTTTGGCGACCCCTGGTGGGGGTCCCCAGTCACAGGTTGATTAGTACTTTAATAAACTGCCTCAGTGACACATTTTGTGAATGTTTCATTATATATTTAAAACTTAACTAATTTAATGAACCAAAACAGTGAACTCAGTTCAGGTTTATTTGGATGAATTTTGAGCAGATTATTTCCTGTTTACGGAACTTTGTATAATCTACTGTCTATATTATGTATTTTTGATCATTTTTAACAATCATACAGACTTAATAAGCTTCTTTTTTGAAAAAATTCAGAGTTTCCTTGTCCCTGGTGCTTGGCAATTGTTTTATTAAACACTTTATTTAATTTACTTTTTGCCACAAAAGTGAACCAAATGCAGAAATATAGACTTGCTGTCTATATAAATTGACCTAAAATCAAGAAGGCCTCATGAGCCCCCTATTAAGCTTTGGCGACCCCTAGTGGAGTGTCCCGACCCCCAGGTTGGGAACCACTGGTTACGCCCTTGATTCCTATTCATTACAAATAGGCTGATTTATCTAATAATAGTCATGGTAATGTATATTTTTTACCCATATTTAAAATAAAAGATTTGAAGGCCCCCCTGCAGTGACTGTAAGGAGCCCCTAGGGGTCCCCTGTTGAGTTGTATATAATCTTAACTGCATGATGAATCTATCAAACTGGATCCTGTGAAGCTTTGTAGATGCTGACTGGCTGAACTTTAGCTACTTGAGAGTTTATTATTCCTGTAATAAAAGAACAGTTTGGATTTATCTGGAGGAGGAAGGAAACTGAGTCCTGGCATTTATCAGAAATTCAACATTTAACCACTTCACCTGTGACACAGACAGAGAGCCAGACAGCTGCAGCCAGAGCTTCCCTTCATCATTTATTGTATTTGGACAGCTGGAACGGTGATAAAACCACTTTAAACAACAGGCTGCAGACGCTCACACGGGAACACATCGGGTTCAGTATGTCAAGATAGCGAACAAACGACATCCTCTGTTATATTTCATCACAGCATGCAGATCAGTGATGCTCAAAGTGTGGTCGGTGGAAAATCAGGGGTCCTGGAGTGGCGAGGGGGTCTAAAGAAGGTAAATTTATCTGTTTTTCATTTATTTAAGTTACTTTTTTTGAGAATATGGCAGCCCCTTCTTGTAAGAAAATACAAATTCTCAAGCATCACATAATTATGCCTTAATTATAATATAGTGTTTCAGAATTGACTTATAATTATGAATCTATTCTTCTAATCTAGTTTTTATTTCCCTAATGGGAGTGGACTACAAAATAAAAGCTTGCTTAAAGAACTTATATAATATGACACTTCATGTCCCAAACTCAGTTAGGTGATAAAAATATACAAAAAATAACAACATCATTACAGTTTTCAACCAGTGCCGATACAAAAAAAGATTCAGAAACAAGAAATAGATCAATTTTTGCTCCACAAGATTGAACCACTTTTAAAATAAAAACAACCAAAAAGTTAATGAGTATATAACAATGTGGTTTATATTAAATCTATTCAGCAGTGCCAAATCCAAAGCTTATTGTTTGATAATGTTAATATTGTTATTATATCTTGTATTTCTTAAAAGGTTTATATTAGAACAACACTAGCACACGCCACAACTTTAACTTCCTGAGTATTATTTTGTAATATTTTCCAAAAATAGCAACAGACAGTTATAGCAGTATATGTCTGGACATAAACTGTGGAAGCCCATTCCTGCCAAAAACAAATAAGGCACTGCAGAAATAACAACTCTAAAAACTATATTCAGTATTTCATTATAATAATGGACTTCATGTAACACTAGAACAGTTAACATACAGTAGCTAAAAAGATTACTTAAGTAAAAAATGTCTCACAATTACTATGTATAAATCATTCATATGAGTAACTTATTACTTAATTTTATATTTTTAATCATACCTAAACTCATATTGACTAATCTTTTGGCAGTAATGGGCTTCCATACAACACAAAGGTGATTTAAACAGTGTTTTTGACAATTATTTTCCTAAATTTTGTTCCTTGAGGCCACAGTGTGAACAGAAATATAGACTAGCTTGGTTTTGACATGAGTATTTAGTAAAATGTTGATTTTAGCTACCACAAGTTTTCTGTAAAGTTAAAGGAACCCTCTGATATTTTAGGAAATCTACTTCTTTTCAGTTTTACTTCTGAATTCAACCAAAATATCAGTGTGTTCCTTCACAGTAAAAGCACAGATTAAGTTACAGAACATCTGAGGATTACATGGTGCATGATAGTGGGTCATTTGAGCACCGCTGATTGGCTGTTTCCAGGGAGTGACGGGGGCGTGGCCACATGTGGGTGTTCAGGCATTGGTGGTGGTGCCAGTGGCGCCATCTTTCCTGCCAATCTGACAGTAGAGAATCATGGCGAAGACCATGCCAAAAATCTGCAGAGAGGAAACACATCAGATGAGCAAAAACATTGGACGGCCACTGAACTTGTATAACGTAGTTTAATATTATGCCATAAATCATCAATTCTGGTCAAAATCTTCTGCTTAATAAGTGTATTTAAGGATGAAGCCTCCTTGTTTTCTTTTTGTAACAGCATTTGCTATTAATACAAACTCAACACATCTTGTATCCATTTCAAATTTAAAGCCCTCAGACAGACAGAATCTCTTAATTTTTCAACAAGGCTTTTATTGTGAAACATTTGCAGGGAGATTTTTTGGAAAATCCACTGACTTTTACAGTTCCCATTCAGTACTTCTAATTTAGCCTACTGTAACTTGTTTGTTATTAATAAACACACAAACATTGTTGAAAGTGATGGAAATGGTTGAGGCAACCCCGTTATAGAGTTATTAGAGATCCAGCTTTTATTTTGGAAAATACGGTATATTGACGACAGTGCTTGTTTCTCTTTTTTGGATAATAGTGTTCAGAAAGAGTGAATGTCCTGTGGTTTCTTTTCTGAACCTCCGTTTCTACACAGACAACATGATGCTCTATATGTGTGCTCCAGCTGATGATTGATGACTGTAGATTTTAGTTATTTGCCATGCTTGTTTGGTCTCTTAAAAATCCTTTAATCTTATCTTTTAATGTTCCCTTTTTTATTAAAGCCTTCCCCTTTAAGAAACGTGGATTGTGGGTAACCTGTGCCGGTTTGTTGTAGGAAGTTGTTTTCTGATGTGTTAACATTCCTATGGTGTCTTCTTGTGGTGTTCACAGCTGAGTTGGTACAGACTGCTAGTTTACAAGTTGGAGGTAAAACATCTCAGAGCTTTGGAGCTGATAAAATCATAAAAAACGCCTACTGTTTACATGAGTTTTGTGGTGTAGTAATAGTTCTAGTTTACGACTGGTGGCTTACAATTTACTTTTTCCTTGTTCATTTGATATGTGGACAACATAACAAATGGATGGAGGGGGGTGAATCTGATGAAATAAGTTCAACTCTCTTTCAAAATATCAGCTATTTCATGGAAATTACCTAATCCAATATGGCTGCCGCCATATGACGTCATAATATGCAAATTAGATGGAAAAATGTACTCCCTAGATAAACTTTAGGTCATTCTCAATATTTGTCTCATTTACACTTTGTCTCTATCTCAAACCACTTTCAAGCCAGAGCCTCCTAAAATTTAGACGTCAAAATCTAGTATTTTTAAAAATAAAACCCGGCGCCAAAAGGGTTAACTTTGGACTCTTTCTGGTGTTTTCTCTGTCCTCTCTCCTCCTGTACGACAATAATCATCTGTGCAAAACACAGTGTGCTGTAAGGCTATATATAGTTATATTGACCCTAACGATGATTTTTAATTTAATTTAAGGAATTGTTTCAGCCTTAAAATACATGTGTGGTCAACAACCCCACCCCCACCAGAGGACAGAGTTTCTCATGGGAAATTAAACTGTGTGCTTCTGCGTCTGTGTTTACCAGCAGGATGGCGATGGCAAAGGCGATTCCCAGCACCACCGTCAGGTTTTGCTCCACCAGTTCGATGATTTTGGTGGAGCAGGGCTGCAGGATAAGACAAGACATCAATATACATAATCACACTGTACATCATGTGATTAATTGTTAAAGTAATGATTGATTAAACTCTCTACAGCACGTTTAAGGTCTCTGCAAGTTGACTTTCATAGAAATTAAGTGACACCAGTGGCAGCCTGGAAGGAGAAACATCAATCTAAACACTGATCGACTCTTCAGTGGTGAGTTTCTGTGCACTTGAGTGGAACACTGCTCTCACCGTTGAGTAGACTTTGGAAGAATTGCAGTCTGTATCGGTGGCATTGCAGCGGCAGGAGTCAGGAACCTTGGTCCAGTCTCCTGGTCCGTTCACAAGACCACAGCACTTCAGCTGGAAGGGAAATACAGTAACACATTAGATTCAGCTGTTAGCAAGGCTGCAACATTACAGCAACTGCTCGTTAACTGTTCGATAATTACTTCCTGATTAGTTGAGTGACAGGAAATTACATTTTAGTAATCTACGGAAGCTGAGAACGCCTGTGCTTGCATTATTTTGGGAAAAAAAGCTTTGTTATATCGGACACACTTATAAAGTCTCTGCTCTCCCGTTAGTTTGGTTTGTTACACCATTTAATTTGTCATCCTGTGTTAATAAAGTTCCCTTGTTTAAAATGTTTTCCATGGTGTGTCTCCTTCTTGTTCCTTCACACACAATACCGGGAAAGTAATAGCTTAAATTTACTCTCAGATGTCAATTTAGGTAACAACTATTTTCAGTTCAGTCTCGCTAGGTCTAGCAACTTTTCAGACCCTCCTTGTGACTTTATTTTGACTAGCGACAAATTTAGCGACTTATTCAAACCATCAGTATTTTTAAATGTGTTATATTGTAAGTTGTTCCCACCCAGCTCCAGGATCTCTACCTCTCCTCTTGGGCTGTGTGCAGGCAGACAGTCTGCTAACTGTAGCGTGTCAGAGCGGATCCCTGCATTAGTGTTTTCCTGTATTTTAGCCTTTATGTAAATAGTTTGAACTTGAAAATATTTGAGTATCTTGTTTGATCTTCTCTCTCTGTTTTGCAATTTTAAACATTTTTATAACCCTGTAGTGAGTTTGTGACTGACTAAATGATTATAATGATCCATGGCCGTAAACCGATCGGAAACAGGTTTAGAGTGATGTATTTATTGATCGAACATCAGGAAATTAACAAACTCAACCAATTACTTAATCAGATATATAAGTGAAGAGCACAACTAGCAGAACTTATATATATATATATTACCATATATATATATAGATATATATAGATATATAATCTAATGAGATAAATTAACTTGTGATCTCGATTATAAAATAACTTCAAGCTTCCTCTCATTTTTAAAGCAAAAATGCCAAATATTTTCTGGTTTTACCTTCTCAGTTGTTTGACATTTTTATTCAAAATTATCATCAATTGCAACCTTAAATCTTTTTTCTTTTCTTTCATATATATGGCAAACAAATGTAATTATAATCCAGGACACATTGCTTAACAGCTGACCCTACAAAGGACCCAACCCTGAGGTTAAGAAACTACTTCCAGTTCTTCCTCTGGACTGTATTCATATTGTTAAAGTGTCAGTTAGAGACAATTGGTGGCAGTCTGTAGCATGTCCGCCCTCTTGTGGGTCTCCGCTGTAAATACACCCTGATAGAGGAGCTGATCACAGATATATTGGTATTAATATTGACAAGTATATAAGGTTTTAATCTTTTATAGGCAGTACTTATTTATGAAACTCATTTTTTTGTGTGTTCAGATCCCGTTTGGTACATTTTTGATAAATTAGTCTCACAAATTGCCTCAAATAACAAATTATTTACTGTAATTAATCATCACTGAGCTCAATATTTTAATTTTGTACCCGCAGACAACTAGTGTTACTACTTTTGATCACTCAAAGTGAAGAATAAATAAGTATATTGAGCAACAAACTATGATTATGAGGAAACATAATTAAAGATTTTCTCTCCAACACCAACTGTGTTTATTCTTGTATTTCTATCTTTGTGAGGACTATAGTTTTAGACTGTGGTTGGTACAGTTGTGTGTGTGTTTGTGTGTGTGTTACCTCCCGCTGTACTGCCTCCAGGTCATCCTTCACAGATTGCGGTTGTGACGACAGCGGCGTGAACTTGGTCAGACGCTCCTTCACCCATTCCTTCACCTGCACAAACACACAGCATAAACTGTGACACTCCAAACAAACTGCTGAGACTGCAGGCGATGTGAGGACGCCGTCACTTCATGTTTTACCTTCTTCTCTTCCACAGCTCCCACGATGCCCGCTGCCAACAGGAGGATGAAGATGACGAGGAGGCTGATGAAGAACTGAGGCAACAGAGAAGGAAAAGCAGGGTTGATTTTCCATTCACGCCAATGTGACAAAAAACTTAGATAATAATCTAAGTGTAACTTAGAAACTTTCTCAGTATTTTGACTTAATATCATTATTTTAATCAAGTTTCTCATTATAATCACTTACAGGACTTCTGGGTGAGTAATTAATGTAGTTTAAAGCAGTGGTTTTCAGCCTAAGGTCCGGGGACCAACCAGGGTCTTTGGTCCCCAGCAAAAGTAGGAAGATTTTATTCATATATTAACTTTTATCACATAACTATTTATTATATTATGTTTATTAATACAGACAAAACAGGGACTGTAATTTATTGTGATCCCAGTTGACCCATTGTTTTATTATATTATATACAGTATATAAGCTCTGTATAAGAGTTTTAACTCATGTGTCTTATTATTCTTATTGATCAACTGTTGGTCCTAATTAGTGTTTTATTTTTTACTTTTTAATGGTTTTTACTGCTGGTCTTCATTATTTTATTTTATTTTTTAACTATAACATTTTAACTGTATTATTTACTTGAGTGTTTCATTTATCTAACAGTTACTTTACAGATCAAATAAAACATACAATCATCTTGTCAAACATGTTTACTTCATTGTTCAAACCATTAAAGATGTACAGGTATATCTTTTTAATTTAGATTTAAACTATAACTTTATCCTGTATTATTTATGTGTCTGTTTTAATAAGTCTAAAAGTTTTAAGTTCATTCATGTCTAATGTGTTATCCACATCATCTTTGTGGCTACAACCCACAAATGTGCTTTATGAATAAAGTTTTGCTTGCAGGTTTTCTCATTATCCTCAAACCTAAAATAAAAAATACTTAAAAGACAAAATCCTCTCAAACTTGTGGGGTCTAATGTGAATCAATTGTGGGGGTCATTAACATAAACAAAACAACACAGAAAGTCTATTTTCTTTCTATAAAATAAAACGATTTAAGTCAGAAAATATCCAGTTAAATAATCTAGAAGGAATAATGTTATGATTCCCACCATCAGCAGCATGCAGCGGTTCTCTCTGATGGCTCCGCAGCAGCCCAGGAAGCCGAGCACCATGATGATCACTCCGATGGCGATCATCAGGTCGACGCCGGGAAGAGATTCCTCTGTGATCTGCAGACAGGAGGAGACGGGAAATCAGTATTTTACACTGGTGACAACAGAAAGATATTTCAACGATATCTAATGAAACTAAGAGTTAAATAAAAGAACAGACAGTTAGGAATAAAATGTGTTTTCAATAACAAGAAGCTGCATCATTCCTGTCAATAAAAGTCTCACCTGGTTTCCATTCTTGCTGACTTTCACGTAGATGGAGACGCCGAGGATGATACAACCACTAATCTGTAGAAAGAGAGCAAGAGAAACTCAATTTTAGTACAAAATGTGCACAATCACTTGAGTTTACTGGGGAGAATCTGGCGCCATCTGGTGGTGAAAACCTGCACCAACTCACAACTCTGCAATAACAACTTGGTTTTTCCTCTAGCCCCACCCTCGGGATAAAAAACAGAAACATTCCAGAGTATCTAGATTTATTATTTATTTGCGTTTAGCTGGATGGACTCACTGAGAATGAGCTGTCTCCGGTAGCCCCGCCCTAAAGCTCACCCTGCTTTATGGTCTATTTTACTCTAAATGGGACCATCAGTTACTAAATGAACATCATGTATGAATGAATACCATGCAGTCTTATGGAGAAATGAGCCGACTTCTAACTTTATTTATCAGCTCAGTAAACAGTTTCCTGATGAGTTTATGGCCTCGCATGATATATATATATATGGTATGCTTTAGTATTACAAATTATGCAGGTTTAAGACACTTGACTTCACAGACCGAGGATCATAGGATGAACAGAGTCCTGCCTCCAAAGCTGTATCCAGTTCTCCTTTAATACACCTTCTCTACACAGAGAGACTTCTGTCTGGGTCCTTTGCGGGCGGGGTGTGATCAGTGACATGTATTATTCAGCACTCATACAATGAACCAACACACGCGCTACTGAGAGTAATTATCAGCCATCAATATCTCATCCTCACAGCTGTCAGCAGAGAAAAAACAGAGCCGGAAAACAGAGATCAGTGTGAGGACACAACCGCAGCGTTTCCATGGACGCAAACATAATTAAGAGGAAACTATAAAGGAAGGAAAGGTTGTTACGTCGCTGTGTGGTGGCCTGGAGAAGTGGGAATACTCTCAATTAAAGAGCCCAAATTTTGATTTAAAGCTGCCCAGCAAAGCACAAACCTCCTGTGTTATAAACACTGACATGTAAGACTTCTCTTCACCTCACCCAAAGCAGCCCAACAGTGCTGCCTGACTTCAGGAAGTAAAGAGCATTATGAAATTTATCAGGTGAGACATAATTATGCATTTTGAGTGTAAGTATTCCTTATTTCTTAAATCTCATGTCTTCGCCATCCTAGGAAAATTCATTAAGCACTACTAAAAGATAAGCGTCAGAGATTTAGAAGTGGATATACTCCATATATCTGGAGATACTCTGCACTACACCACTAATGCCACACTTTAAGGCTCTGGGAGCTGTTATTATATATATATATATATATATATATATATATATATATATATATATATATTATAGCGTAATGAATGGGCAGACCACTCCTTCTTCTCTCCCCTCTCAGTTATCAGTCTGAGTGATGGAGGCGCCCGTACTTTAGTGTGTTGTTCTTTAGCTAATGTTTCATTTTATTTGCATGTTAATATGACATAAGGCGGATCATCAACGCCCATTAAAATGTGACCGGATGCTGAATCCTAAATGTGTAAAATCCAATAATAAAGAACTAGGACAGCACTTCCATTCAACTTTTTTTTTATTTCACCACTCGGACGTTTCGGGTAAGACGTTTTTCTTCAGTGTGTTCACAATAAATCTACACAGCAGCAGATCATCCCAACAGGGACAAAGTCACATCATATCCAATACATAGAAACACCAGCAGATGAAATCTCCTCAATCATACCGCTGGGAATCAAGGAAGTGTATCCGGTACGATAGATTTATAATTGACTGGAGCTTCTTATGCACATGTGATTGATGTTAATAACAGACCCTAAATGAATCAACTCTGAGTTAGCTAACCTTTAACGAGGCAGTTTCATTCATTTCATTACAATGTTTCAGATGTCACGACATGTATCCCTTTATTGTTTTATAGCTAAGGGGTTTGTTTATAGTCGACCAATGAACAATCAATACTCAGAGGAGGTTTGTAAACATTTAATTTTAATATGTGATATTTAACATAAGGTATTTTTATCATCGTAAAGCAGCTTCTGGAGTGAAATAAAAGAAAGAGAGAAGGACTACAAATACATAAACTAAAAATGTTCAAGACTCGCCATGAGCCCTTCAAGTATTCCTATAATCACTGTGATCATTTGTAATTTTATATGTATTTTAATGTAGTTTTTGCAGGTTTTCTGTGTCCTTGGGTTATGTAAAAGGTGCTTCAAGTAGAATTTATTATTATTGTATTAATTGTATTAAATAGTTTTCATAAGTTGACAGTTTATCAAGTCTAAAAATGTGTTACTTGAATTTCTATTATATTTCAATATATCAATTATTTCATAAAAAATGATTAATTTATATAGTACTTAACACAAAACATAACATAAAACAAGAAGTATATATATACAGATTTTATTTATATAAAACAGAAATAAACTTTTTGGGGGAGTTTTTTCAGGTATTTTTGAATTTTATAAACCAAACAATTAATGAATTGATCGAGAAAAGAATCCGTACATTAAACAATAACCAAAACAATCATTAGCTGCAGTCCTACTTTAACTATTCTTTCTGATTTCATTTAACTTGACATCAATATTTTCCATTCACTTTACAATGTTGATTCCTTTTTGTTGCATTGATTTTTTTTTAAAGACTATAAATAAACACTAAAAGCTTCAGGAAATAAAAGTGATGGATGATTCTCTCCACGTCTGAATGAACGGAAACAGACGTGACAAACAACAAAAGGACACGACCTCTGTGCTAATAGCGGTAGCACACACACGCATACATGAAATGCCACCACACCCGTCGTCTATTAATTCTGCGCTCTTGAGTAAATAATAGCCTGTTGAGCATTTTACTGGTCTTTCTGACTCACCTACAGAAACACAAACCTGACCAGTGAAACCAGTGCAACCAGCCAGAAGCTGTGGTCAAAAACATCATCAGGAGTATTTTAAGTCAATGCTTCGGGCTGTTTTCTCAGCCCTTAAACACGCCTTCATGTGACTTTACTAGTGGCATTATACTGACTAAACAATTTTTATTGACTTAAATCATCTTTAATCAAACCTGCAGAGATTTATCAGCTGAATCTGAAGCTCTGCTTTGAGCTTTATAGTTGCCTGACTGCAAATTTTGGTTCACTCTCACAGCTCTCATATCGTCATTATCAGATAAAAAGCTGTAAAAGCCCACTGTGCCACTACCTGTACAGACACAGTTAGAGACCAGCTGGTGAACACAGTGAAGCATTTAGCAGTTCAAGAGTCAGATATTTCCCTCAGGAGTTGATAAGAGACCAAAATCAAAGCTAAAAGAGAGCCAATATTAGATATTATTCATCAGGTGGACACAAACATGATGTGGAAATGTGGAAATAAACAAGCGTTTGCTAAACATTTTAACTTAAAAGGTGACGATGTGTCAATATTGTGTTCACATTTGGTTTCTGCTGCCTCAAATAAATCATTTATTGCACGTTTTAAGGTTGTGCAAAAGTAAATCTAAAAAGACTGACACAGCATTGCTTTGAGCTAAATGTTCAGCGTGTTAGCAGGCTACAGGAGGAGTCAGAGTATCACCAGAGTTGTAAGGATTCATTTGATCAATGTACTGAATTTCATGGCAATCTAACCAATAGTTGTAGAGATATTTTAGCCTGGACCAAAGTGGTGCCGTGACATTGCCATCCCTAAAGCCGGGCTGCTATGGCTAAAAGAGCTAAAAAAAACAAACAAACACAGAGAACAAATCAATAGATGATTCAATAATGCATTAAACCTCATTTTCACACTCATGTAAACAGAAAGCCCAAGGAGCTCCTCTTCTGCAGTTATACTACAAATACTTTGGGAAAAAGATCAAAACATCTGAATACTTTTTTGGCTGCAATTAACGCAAGTGGCCACTAGGCAAAACCTGGGCTCCCTGACTGGTCCCAGACCAACAGACTGCTCTGCACTGTGTGTTCTGACCCCTTTCTATCAGAACCAGCATTAACTGATTCAGCAGTTTGAGCTACAGTAGCTCGTCTGTTGGGTCGGACCACACGGACCAGCCTTCACTCCACTGCCAATGACCCTTTCTCCGGTTCTTTCCCTTCCTTGGTCCACTTTTGATGGGTACTGACCACTGCAGGCTGGGAACACCCCACAAGAGCTGCAGGTCTAGAGATGCTCTGACCCAGTCGTCTAGCTATCACAATGTGGCCCTTGTCAAAGTCACTAAAATCCTCACGCTGCCCATTTTTCCTGCTTCTAACACGTCAACTTTGAGGACAAAATGTTCACTTGCTGGCTGATATATCCCACCCACTGACAGGTGCCATAACCAGATAATCAGTTTTATTCATTGTCAGTGCTCACAATGTTACGGCTGATCGGGACAAACAGGAAACCTTTCAATTACTGGATATGAGGACTGTAAAATGGAGAAGAGATTTCTCGCTTTACTACTTCACCACCTTCACTATCACCAGAAAAACAAACACACATACACAGCAGTTGTTTTCCTTTGAACGGGGTTGCCAACAGTTACGGGTGGGTCAAAAAAGGACCACACAAACATTCAGTGAAAAGAATCTGTACAGAGTTATCAGTTCAACATCTGCCAAGTTAAAGTGAAGGGATTCAAACCTACGTCACCGTGTCAGCGCTGTAACAAGAGCACAGAGCAAACCCGCAGAGCAACATAACAATCGCAGAGATCAGCAGGTCTGAAAAACGAACACGCCCTCTGAGCTTGTAGAAGCACATCGGCTCTGAGAGACTGAAACCTGATCAGAGGAAATGATCGTTTAGAAGAACATTTATCTGGATTAAGTTTAATTGTCAGGATTACATATGATCAAGACTCCAGTTGAGTAGGATTAGAGTTTTCTAGGATTATAAATGAGAAGCAATTGATCAGAATGACATCGGATCACGATCAAAGTTAATCAGAAATATAGTTATAACGGATCAAATTGAATTAAGATTACAGTTAATTGGGATTAAAATTGATAAGGATAACACAGGATTGCTTGGGTGGCAGTACGGATTAGGGCAACAGTTAACAGCAGCTGAGTGGGATT